GAGGCTTCCTTTTTCCCGCTACATGAATCTCCCCATAGTCGTGTTTTAGAGATCGACACTTTGGAATTGGCTAGTCGGGGGAGAAAAAATTGAAATACCAAAAGCAAAATTTTAAAAGTAATATAATGAAATGATTCCACAAATTCTTTTATTTGTATCATCGGAATCCCTACTTTACTAACTATAATCAATATTTATTTCCATTAAGCCTATACAGTTGTTGCAAACACTAAAAATAATTTGAAAATACTTAATATATGCGTGTTGATTTTATATCGCTATTTTCATCAGAATTAATACCCTCCGGGAATTATTAAGAATGTTGAAATACAGTATCATGTTTTTTTAACCAAAAAAAAAAATATATCGAATTGAAAATGAGTAATTTTACAGTATAAACAAACAATTTGAAAATACCTATTTGATAAATTATTCTATTTACGCCAACTTCAGACATAGAATATCAACAAAAATAAGCTGAGAGAATCGGTCGAGAAATAGGAAGAAGCACTTACATAGAAAATCATAGTAGTTTCCTCTGTATTCAATGAAACGGTGGGATAAACTCCAAGATCCTCTTGAAGGAGCCCTACGTTTTCCCCTTTTCAAACTTTTCTTTATGACGCAGGAGAGACTAGTCTTTCCAAAATAATATGGATAAGCTCCATCTACATTATATTGCATAAACAGATTATTGTTTGAAGAATCAGACATTTTTATAGGTATCAATCGAAATTAAAACAATATGAATATAAAAGTTTGGTCGCCAAGTAAAAATAAAAATAGTCTTTCAGAATATTCTTGTGATTCTTCTTACTGGTAAATTATTTTCTTTTCCTGTAATTAGCTGGCAATTAAAATAAATATTCAAAAGAGACGACTTATGAAATTTTATTAGTTATGAAAATCAGTTTTCTTGCCTGAATGGGCAAACATAGTTTTATCCCATAACTCGCCTTTTATCAAGATTACTCGTAATCTTTCTTTCTCAATAAAAACTTTTACATTCATCACAAACCTCGTTTAGAACATCCCTTGTTGTTCCCTTTTTTCCCCCACATCCACCAACCATCAACATCAAGAAACAAGGCACATATGAGCGTGAGAATCTGCAAATACAATCTATCTAAAAATATCTTATATATATACAAAATTCACATTCCTGTCATATATGTATTCAAAATGACTTACTGTCAAAAAACGCATCTTGGTTGCCTGAAAGTTTTCGGTAAATTCTTATTGATAGGGGTTTATATATTTTCTTCTCGAATTGGAAAAACCAAGTGCATACACAACATGATGTATATTTTATGGGTTTTTCTTTTTTTGTTCCTGGTTATTTTTTATGCATTTTAATGTCATTGCAAAATTTTTACATAATATGCACAACGTCAACACAAAAAACTTCTCAAGCACTGATATTTGCGTGTGATAAGTGCAATATGAAAGTCTTAAAACGTGAAAATATGGACAGTCAAAAATATTTTTTCATATTCATTATATCTCCTCAACTTCGATTCTATTAATACCATAGAGAGAGAGAGAGAGAGGAGGGAGGGAGGGAGGGTTGGATGGATAGATAGATAGATGATAGATACTAATAGATATTAATACTTCAAAAATTATTATCTATAATTGAATCTGGCAGCTAGCTATAAAATGCTTGCAGTATGTTCAGACCTCTGAAACCAAATCCATCATGTGTTTATATTACTAATTGGAGAACATGAGAAGGTTATACTCTGTGTGAAAGTTTTGTCAGAAATCAAACTGTTAAGACTGGGTTTAAATTTTTGAATGAAATGTTTTTCTTTTTCTCTTCTTTCAATTATACTGTCTCTAAAAAGTTTATAAAAAGGAAATACTTCAAATTGTCTGTGTCCGCATATATGTTCGGTGAGTTTCATCTTGCGGTACTCGGGGACTTGAATATGTTGTTTATGCACCCGGATTCTGGCTCTCAATGTGGTCCCCGTTTCACCGATGTAGAATTGGTTACATCCTCCGCAAGTAATAACATTTATTAAATTTTTGGACTCACATGCCATGTCCGAATTAATAAAAAAAATCTTTTCCTCTGAAATTGAATGACGTTCCTTGTCTTAAAAAAGGACATGTGCCACATCGCGGGTTTTTACACTTCGTCACGGATTTTGTAGATTTCCTTATTTTGGAAGGACCGAGCATTCTTCTGAGGTTTTTTGGCTGCCTTTTGCGGTTTATAAATTTAAAATTTTGATAAAACACTTGACATTTCTTCATCGGTTTTGAGGATATCATTGAGAGTTTGAACGATAGGAGTAATATTGTGATTGTTAGGGTTGTAAGTTGTGACTAGTGGTAATATTTTAATTTCCTCTACATCCTTAGCAGTTGGATTAATTAATTCTTGCCTGTCTAGTTCCTTTGCTCTTTTGCTTCCATCGTTAATTAAGTTTAAAGGATAATGTTGGTATGTGAGATATATTTTCAATTCCTCCAGACGTTGATTTCTGATTTTTTCCTCACTGACTATTGTGCATATTCTTCGGGCTAGGTTATATGGTATTGCTCTTTTGATGTGTCGTGGGTGGGAAGAACCAAAATGCAAATACTGATGAGTGTCAGTACCTTTATAAAATATATCTGTAGAAATTTTGTTGTTTTCCTTACAGATTAATACATCTAAAAATGGTAGTTGAGTGGAACTTTTTTCCATTGCAAATTGAATATCTGGGTCATTCAAGATATCATTTAAAGTACTCAAATTTGAATCATCTTTTTTCCATATAATAAAACAATCATCTAGATATCTTCTACAGTTTTTTCTTAAGATATTCGCCAAATTCTTCATCAAATTGTTCACTGGCTTTTTCATAAAGTGCTTCTTCTAGATATCCAAGGGTGAGAGTTGCATATGTAGGGGGCCATTTTGGTACCCATTTATCAAATTTATCAAAGTGTAAGAACCTGCGATGTGGCACATGCATGTCTTTTTTTAAGACAAGGAACGTCATTTAATTTCAGAGGAAAAGATTTTTTTATTAATTCGGACATGACATGTGAGTCCAAAAATTTAATATATGTTATTACTTGCGGAGGATGTAACCAATTCTACATCGGTGAAACGGGGACCACATTGAGAGCCAGAATCCGGGTGCATAAACAACATATTCAAGTCCCCGAGTACCGCAAGATGAAACTCACCTAACATATAGATATATGCGGACACAGACAATTTGAAGTATTTCCTTTTTATAAACTTTTTAGAGACAATATAATTGAAAGAAGAGAAAAAGAAAAAAACATTTCATTCAAAAATTTAAACCCAGTCTTAACAGTTTAATCTAATTTGATTTCTGACAAAACTTTCACACAGAGTATAACCTTCCTATGTTCTCCAATTAGTAATATAAACACATGTTGCATTTGATTTTAGAGATGTGAACATACTGCAAGTATTTTATAGCTAACTCTCAGATTCAATTATAAATAATGATTTTTAAAGTATTAACAGTTTTGTTAGACATTACAGTCAAGAAAACGTTATTATGCATTTGTAAAACATCTGAAGATAATAATGAAAGCGCTAACGTTTTAACCTGTGTTGCCTTTCTTTTTTAAATTTTATCTATATAAAAACCGGACACTGCGAATTTTCAAATTTCGATATATATATATATATATATATATATATATATATATATATATATATATATATATATATATATATATATATATATATATATATATATATATATATATATATACACACACACCCTCACACACACACCTACACACACACACACACACACCCTCACACACACAAATGACCAACAACACGAATAATAGATATTGTTATTAAATGGGATATTATCAACATATAATTAATAAGTTTCAACATATACTGTCAAAGGATCATTAAATAATTACTAGAAATAAATTATCCGCATCTAATTAAAGACAGCGTATTTATTTATCATGAAGAGGTATGAATAAAATCTTCTAAGCATCATCATATAAAGTATCATCATATAATGAAGACGCATTATCAGTATTTAGAAACAAGCAAATTGTGGTCCCCCGCTTTCGGTGTCTCAGTGGATGGTATGCCATTATTTATGACATATTGTAACTGTCTTGTTTGTGTGTCTTGTCTTGTCTGTGCATCATATAAAGAAAGTTAAAAATTATTTTTAAAATAGCTTTCTTTGAAATCAACTCGAAATACTTCAAGTGCGTAATGACATTGAACCTTTGGAAAACTTCATTCAGGTATGAAGATACTTGCTCTCTGCTTGTTTATATAATAGAAAGATATCACAAATGTATATATTACACATGTGAAATATAAAAGCCCTAGCACCAACCATTCAAAGTTATGAGCAAGGTTAAAGTGTTTGCTGACAGACAAGCAGACAAACAAACAAAAAGACTGACAGACTCATAGACTAACACTATATGCCCCTGAATCTTCGATAACGGGGGCATAAAAATAAATTGCTAAATAAATTGTATCCAGAATATGAAATTAACTGTGGAACAAAGTTCGACACATATTTCATTCTAAGATGTACTGAGTTTCAAAGTAGGAGAACATGTAAAGAAGGTATTTTCTGCAATGCCAGAGAAAAGAACTTGCATGTATTTGATGTAACGAATGTTAAGACAAACATCAGTTTTGGTAAATTTCCTAGCAATTATTTGAAGTAAACAACAAATTATGATCATTTAAAAAATAATAAAAAATGCAAACCTTAAAACGTGAAAAAGATAAGAAGATAAGTGTATTAAAGAATTTCCCAGTAAGTATAATAAACATATAATCAAAAACATTAATTATCTAAAATTCAAATAACTTTAAAATTTTAACATTAATTTTAATGTGCAGTGTCAGCATGTTATACAGACAATAATTATTTCCTATTAGAAAGAAATCAATACCATTTTATATGTCAATACAAATTTACACGATAGACAGTCTGACTTTTCACTATGAATAAGACCTGATTCTGAACTCTGAAGTTATGAGGATCAAAGGACAAAATAAGAATTATTGAAATGTTTATTCTGAAACTGATAAATACCACCATCATTTTATAGCAATAATAATGAATATCAATTTTTGATGGAAGATTAAATGGTTTAAATACCAATTAAATGATATTAAGTGTTGTACATACTAGTATTTTTCCCAGTTATTCCAACTTAAATGAAGGTTTACTTTGTAGTCAAGCCCACTCAAATGTATAAATTTAACAAAATTAGAAATACATGTAGCTTTAAAATTTAACCTTTTTAACAAATAAAAAGTTGCAATAGATTTTTATAGATAAATAGAATAACACGCTGTGAAAAGTATCAATTGACTATTTCTTTTTCAAAATGGTTTTATTATAACGTGTGCATCATATTCAAGAGAAAAGGAAAAGGTTTGATGAAAATTACAATGTGGTAGATGTATCACAAGCACAATAAACAGCAAGAGTTTACGAGATGAAAGCGTATTCATAACACAGATTTTATTACTGTTAATCTATGAAGCATTGGAATAAACCAAAGGGTAGTGCCCATCTTGATTTCATAGCAATGTTTTGTTCATTTAATACACAGATTACTAATTATATACTACATCGTTACAGGGAAAAGAGTACCAATTAATTTCCCATAGAACTCAATACAAATCTTAGGCCCTCTCAGTACTTACCTATGGTAATTTCAGACAAATCCTTGGTATCATTTGAAACTTTGTTCTAAGCACTTACAAAATATACTTAAAAAAATATAGGGTCCCATGGCGTTTGTAGGTCAAAATTGCCCTTGTTTACAACTTACAGCGATCGGCAGTAAATGACACTCTACATCAAAAATCACCCCCCACTCCTACAACTTCCCCTGCTATTTCTATACTTTCTATAATATTTCCTCATTCCATCATTTATTTCAAACATTAATATTTTTACTTTAAAATGAAGATAATTACATACCTGAATTCAGCCAATCAGGTAATGCCTACCCATTCAGTACTCTGCTCTACTTTGTGTAACAAACAAAACCATGTGTTCATCCGGGGATTTGGTACTCCCATTCCTATAGCTGCCCTTGCACCAGTCAGGGCATGTTGTACCTCTTCTACACAGGATTTCAGACAACCGATTAGCGAGATGGTGGCAGTTGTTGGTCAGAAAGTTGTAACTTCCATAGTTACATTTGTAATTCTTGGCACAACCTTCAATTAATGCACTCTGGACTGAGTTCGCTGTATCCAGCTGGGGAGGCTTCCTTTTTCCCGCTACATGAATTTCCCCATAATCGTGTTTTAGAGATAGCCACTTTGGAATTAGCTAGTCGGGCAAGATAAATGTCAATATTAAAAGCAAAAGTTTAAAAGTAATGGAAATGATTTAATAAATTCTTTTATTTGAATTATCGTAATCCTTATTAACTATATTCAATATTTATCTCCACCTAGTCTACACAGTTGTTTCAAATATTACAAAAAATGTAAAATACTGATATTTGTACTGTTTTTATTTCGCTAATTTCTTCAGAATTAATATCCTCCACGAAAGTTAAAAACTTCAAAATACATTATCATATTACAAATAATGTAAATACTAATATTTGTGCTGTTTTTATTTCATTAATTTCAACAGAATTAATATCCTCCACGAAAGTTAAAAACTTCAAAATACAGTATCATATTTTTCCTTCAAACACAAAAAAAAATTTCCCCATGGAAAATTCGTGATTTTACAGTATCATCAAGCTGTTGGAAAATGGCTATTTGATAAATAATTCTATTTACGCTAACTTCAGATATAGAATGTCAACAAAAATAATTAAGCTTTCTGAGAGAGGATCGTTGGAGAAATAGGAAGAAGCACTTACATAGAAAATCATAGTAGTTTCCTCTGTATTCAATGAAACGGTGGGACAAATCCGAAGTTCCTCTTGAAGGAGCACTGCGTTTTCCCCTTTTTCTACTTTCTATTATGACGCAGACAAGATCAGTCGTGCCAAAATAATATGGATAAGCTCCATCTGTGCGTAATAAAAAAATACATTTTAGTGTGACATAATACAGCTAAAAAGACCGAAGTTCAGAAAAATTATTTAAAAAATTAAATACAGAAATGGAAGAGATCAATTTGATTAAAATGCCTTTTGGCGACATCGACTTTTTGAATGAATATATTAGATTGCACAAACAGATCATCATTTACAGAATCAAATACATGTTGGTATCAATCGAAATGAAAACTAAAAGTTTGGTCTTCAAGCAAAATAAATGAGTTTTAAAAGATATTCTAAGATTCTTATGATTCTTTTTGCTGGTTAATAATGGTTTGTATTTTTTTCTTTTACTTCTCTGGTAACTTGCTGGCAATTAATGAATTACTCAGAAGTCTTGAAAGTCGTTTCGATGAATATTTGATAATTGCACTCTAAGCAACGACTTATGACAGTTTATTCGTAATGCAAATTGTTTTTTTTTCTTTCCTACATAGGCCAACATATATTTTTATCACACAACTCTTCTGGTAATCTTTCTTTCTCATTATATACTTTCACGTTCATCACAAACCTCGTTTAGAACATCCGTCGTTTTCTTCTTTACCCCACATCCACCAACCATCAACATAAAGAAGTAAAGGAAATATGAGCGTGAGATTCTGCAAAAATATTAAGTAATCTAAAATATTGCTTACGAAAATCAAGTTTGTTTTATCTATATTAAGAATGACTTACCGCTAGAAAATGCATCTTGGTTGCCTGAAAGTTTCTGTTAGCTTTATGTCAAGAGGGGTTTATATATGTTCTTCCGGAACTGGAATTAGCACAGGTACATACACTGTGTATATTTTATTACTTTTTTTCTTCCTTTTTTTTTACGGTTATCTCATGTCATTGCAAACTTTAGGTGATTACTTAATATGCAGAACGTCTACATAAAGCCTGCTAAAGCACTAATAAGTGAAACTTAAGTGCAATATGTTAAGTTAAACCATGTCCACAATATGGACAGTCATGTACCAGAAAATGGACATGCATCTCCAAGATTATAAATGAAATTAAATTTGCATATTCATTATATCTCATTACTTCGATTTTATTGATACCATATTTAATTATATATATATATATATATATATATATATATATATATATATATATATATATATATATATATATATATATATATATATATATATATATATATATATATATATATATATATATATATATATATATATATATATATATATATATATTAGAGGTGTCAATTTTGTCAATAATTCATATTCGAGTATTCAGTGAAAGTATTCGAATATATTCGAATATTCGATGAAATAAATGAAATCTTGTTTATTGCAAATCTACTCATCATACTCTCATGACAGGTTTTTGCGTCGGTATTTGGAAGTAAAATTGGATTGGATGTAGACTTTTTTAGGTATACAATAAGGAATCTTATATTTGATATTTGTCAATGTTTAAAATAAATAATTGATTTAAGTGAAATATAATATTAACAAATGATATCTATACAAGCTCAGACTGAGGAACCAGTCGTCTAACCAGGGGCAAGATTGTCGTATACTCTTCAGATTTAAATACACATAATTAATTACAATTATCAGCTTAATAAGAGATATAATCTTTGATAATATAAACAAACACTTCCATAGACAATTTTTTTAAGTCATTAATTTCCCGATAATGATTTAAAACTTAGGAATATATTCAACCTGAGATATTCAAGAAATCGATGCATTATTCTGAAACTGAGCCCTTTACAATATTACAGGTTGATTCTATCGAAGATGTAATTTGATGATCAATAAAATTTATTTTCATAACTACACTCTTTACGTCTCTGAGACATTCAAAAAGGATTTCATTTCGTTATCCTCGATTCTAGATCCGTTCATATTACACTATTGGAAGTACTTTTTTGTATTATACATTAATAATTCCAGTTTATTTCTTTATACATTGAATCTTACTCAAAATGAAATAATTTAGAAGATCTATAAGATAAGAAAGTAGTGAAAGAAATCGGGGGATCTCTAGTAAGTATAACGGGGATAATTCAAGCACTGTTCTAATTAAAATGTAGTGTCTCTTTTTTATGAAATCTGAAAAATACCGAATATTCGAATCTTAAATTCATATTCTAATATTAATTCATCGAATGAATATTCGAATGTTCGAATATTCGTTTACATCCCTATCATTTATTTCTTATATATATATACACTGTATATATATATATGTAGAGAGAGAGAGAGAGAGAGAGAGAGAGAGAGAGAGAGGGAAATCATATATAAATATTGCATTAACTGCCCGTTGTAAATTTTGAAGAACGGCGCAAGGGTGTTAATCGGTTTGGAATGCAGGAACGTTTTGAATTCACCTGGCAAAGGGGTTCTCCTCTTAAAAGAATATTTTGTGAAAGGTTACTTGTGATCAATAATTGTGTGCAGATTGTGGGATTTTTTATGTCCGTGAGAACCGGTATTTGATACTTGAAAATGCATAAGAAAAACATCCAATATTGGACAATAAAAAATGGAAGAATTTCGGTCGGAAAAGGTATGGAGACACCAGGTCACTTAATTTCATATTCAAGATTAGAAATCAAACATAACAATATAATTTAGCTAAATATAATTATTATATCTACGATTTCAGTGAGGCATACTCATTATGTTGTTGATACAGAGACACTTGCGATTGCTTACCTTGTCAAGATTCGGCGTTGGACTAGGTCATGTGTTTACCGCAATGTTTGTGGCATTGATATTTTTCAGCAGACTTGTAAATTTAATGTGAGAAAAGGTAAATGAAGAAAAAAATATCGAATACCATTCAGAGTTTAGGATGAAGATTAAAGGTCTTCAGAAAAGGATAATATTGAGACTACCATTCAACGCAGCAGACAAAAAACGAAGAACTTTAATCATGTTAATAATTATTGTTCATTCTGTATGTAAAATCGCCAAAGGAAACGTGTTCTTTTTTTTTAATCATATATGATTGAATAAAATCATGAAAATAGTCAATGTTTTAATTGCGTATTTTCAACAACCATTTTTAAAATCATAAGACAAAGATAGGCTACATATTATTGCGCCGTGTAATTAGGTCACGTAATGACCTTTGAAAAACTTCGATCAGGTATGAAGATACTTGCTCTCTGCTTGTTTATATAATAGAAAGATACCACAAATGTATATATCACACATGTGAAATATAAAAGCTCTAGCACCGACCATTCAAAGTTATGGGCATGGTTAAAGTTTTTGCAGACAGACAAGCAGGTTAACAGACAAACAGACTGAGAGACTGATAGACTTAACACTAAATGCCCCCGAATCTTCGATTACGGGGGCATAAAAATAAATTGATAAATAAATTGTATCCAGAATATGCAATTTACTGTGAAACAAAGTTCGACACATATTTCATTCCAAGATGTACTGAGTTTCAAAGTAGGAGAACATGTAAAAGGGGTATTTTCTGCAATGCCAGAGAAAAGAACTTGCATGTATTTGATGTAACGAATTTTAAGAACATCACCAGTTTTGGTAAATTTCCTAGCAATCATTTGAACTAAACAACAAATCATGATCATTTAAAGAATAATAAAAATGCAAACCTTAATATGCGAAAAAGATAGAAAGATAAGTGTATTAAAGAATTTCCCAGTAAGTAGAATAACCATATAATCAAAAACATTAATTATCTAAAATTCAAATAACTTTGAATTTTTAACCTTCATTTTAATGTGCAGTGTCAGCGTGTTATACAGACAATAATTATTTCATATTAGAAAGAAATCAATACCATTTTATATGTCAATACAAACTTACACGATAGACAGTCTGACTTTTCATTATGAACAAGACCCGATTCTGAACTCTGAAGTTATGAGGATCAAAGGACAAAATAAGAATTATTGAAGTGTTTATTCTAAAACTGAAAAACACTACCATCATTTTATAGCAATAATAATGAATATCAATTTTTGATGGAAGATTAAAACGGTTTAAATACCAATTAAATGATATTAAGTGTTGTACATACTAGTACATTTTCCAGTAATTCCAACTTAAATGAAGATATACTTTGAAGTCAAGCCCACTCAAATGTATAAATTCCACAAAATTAGATATACATGTAGCTTTAAAATTTAACGAAACCTATTTAACGAAATAAAAAGTTGCCATAGATTTTTATAGAGAAATAGAAAAACACTCTACAGTATCAATTGACTATTTCTTTTTTCAAAATGGGTTTTATTATAACGTGTGCATCATATCAGGAGATAAAATGAAAAGGTTTGATGAAAATTACAATGTGGTACATGAATTACAAGCACAATAAACATCAAGAGTTTACGAGATGAAAGTGTATTCATAACACAAAGACAGTTATCAATTTTATTACTGTTAATCTATGAAGCATTGGAATAAACAAAAGGGTAGTGGCCATCTTGATTTCATAGCAATATTTTGTTCATTTATCACAGAGATCACTATTAATATACCGCATCGTTACATGTGCCCTTGCACCAGTCTGGGCATGTTGTACCTCTTCTGCACAGGACTTCAGACAACCGGTTAGCGAGATGGTGGCAGTTGTTGGTCAGTAAGTTGTATCTTCCATACTTACATTTGTAATTTTTGGCACAACCTTCAATACATTCTGGACTGAGTTCGCTGTAACCGGCTGGGGAGGCTTCCTTTTTCCCGCTACATGAATCTCCCCACAGTTGTGTTTTAGAGATCGACACTTTGGAATTGGCTAGTCGAGGGAGAAAAAATTGAAATACCAAAAGCAAAAGTTTAAGAGTAATATAATGAATGATTTCATAAATTCTTTATTTGTATCATCGAAATTCATAATTTATTAACTATAATCAATATTTATTTCCACTAAGTCTATACAGTTGTTGCAAATACTAAAAATAATGTGAAAATACTTAATATATGCGTGTTGATTTGATTTCGTTATTTTCATCAGAATTAATATCCTTAAGAATGTTGAAATACAGTATCATGTTTTTTTAACCAAAAAAATAATATCCAATTGAAAATTAGTAATTTTACAGTATGACCAAACGATTGGAAAATACCTATTTGATAAATTATTCTATTTACGCCAACTTCAGACATAGAATGTCAACAAAAATAAGCTGAGAGAATCGTTGGAGATATAGGAAGAAACACTTACATAGAAAATCATAGTAGTTTCCTCTGTATTCAATGAAACGGTGGGACAAATCCAAAGTTCCTCTTGAAGGAGCACTACGTTTTCCCCTTTTCAAACTTTTTTTAATGACGCAGGAGAGTTTAGTCGTGCCAAAATAATACGGATAAGCTCCATCTAAATTAGATTACATAAACAGATTATTGTTTGAAGAATTAATCAGACATTTTTATAGGTATCAATCGAAATAAAAAGAATATGAATATAAAAGTTTGGTCGCCAAGTAAAAAAATAGTCTTTAAAAATATTCTTATGATTCTTCTTACTGGTAAATTAATATTTTTTTTTCTCCTGTAATTAGCTGGCAATTAAAAAAAATATTCAAAAGCAACTACTTATGAAATTTTACTAGCTATGAAAATCAAGTTTCTTGCCTGAATGGGCCAGCTTAGGTTTATCCCACAACTCGCCTTTTATCAAGATTACTCGTAATCTTTCTTTCTCAATAAAAACTTTAGCATTCATCACAAACCTCGTTTAGAACATCCATTGTTGTTTCCTTTTTTGCCCCACATCCACCAACCGTCAACATCAAGAAACAAGACACATGAGCGTGAGAATCTGCAAATACAATCGATCTACAAATATCTTTTATATACGAAATTCAAGTTCATTTTATATATATTCAAAATGACTTACTGTTAAAAATTGCATCTTGGTTGCCTGAAAGGTTTCGTTAAATTCTTACTGATAGAGGTTTATATATTTTCTTCTAGAATTGGAAAAACCAAGTGCATACACAGCATGGTGTATATTTTATGGGTTTTTTGTTCCTGGTTATTTTTATGCTTTTTAATGTCATTGCAAACTTTAGGTGATTACTTAATATGCACAACGTCAATATAAAAACCTGCTCATGCAATGATATAAGCGTGTGTTAAGTGCAATATGAAAGTTTTAAAACATGTCCAAAATATGGACAGTCATGAATATTTTTGCATAATCATTATATCTCCTCAACTTAGATTCTATTGATTCCATATATATAATATATATATATATATATATATATATATATATATATATATATATATATATATATATATATATATATATATATATATATATATATATATATATATATATATATATATATATATATATATATATATACACCAAAAAAATTACCATCGACACGAATAATAGATATTGTTGTTTAATCGGGGAGCCCTGTGCCTTCCCCCAGGACAAAGAAAAGATAAGAAAGTCATAAAAACAAAGGATATACGAGGGGTGATCAAGAAGTTCGCGAACTAATTGAATAACTTCCTTAAAAGAAATAAAATGAGGTTTCAGTGTTCATTATTTTTTAAAGTAGTCATCTCCGATTTTAATGCACATCTGCCATTGTTCTGCCCATGCGCGAATCACATGATCCAGGCGGTCACGTGACATGCTTCGTTGCTGTCTGTTCACAGAAGGTAAGAGATTTTTCGAGTCTTATACATGTATTTCTTACCATGCAAGTAATTTTTTATAACAAGAACAGACCATCTGTCAGAAATGGCGAAATCTCGGCAATAGGATGGGTGGATAAGGATATCCCTTCCCAAAATTTCCATGGTGACCATCACAATCCGAGTCCTCTGTCTCGAGAGCGTCGTTAATCCAATGTGGAAAACTATGGGCGCCCTTTCTTTTTTTCATATCTCATATGTTTAAAGTCTAAATTAAACGATATTTTAGGGATTTAATAATTATATTATTGCTCAGATATTCAACTATTTTTCTTACTGTAACTTGGCGATCTTTCAAAACAAATTGCTCAACTAAGGACACATCTTTTTACCGGCTTGCTCTCGCTGGTCAACAGAACAAACATCATTTTTAACCTCTTTTAACTAATTTTTCTCCCTGCCTTCACTAAAACATTCAATCCAATTAATGATTGAACTTCTGGGAAGTCTTTTGTCTTCATAAGCCTTATACAAATTATCATATTCTACTGCAAAGGAATTTCCGAGATGTACGTTAAACTTTACAGCCGTTCGTTGCTCGAGTACGACTGAGTCAACCATTTTTTGTCACAAGTGACCTATATACTGACGTCATTTTTACATTGTGACGTCACAAACACGGAGGAAAACATTATTTTATATCTGCTTTTTATAGAACATGTGTATGACTATATGTGTGCCGAATATCATTCTGATCTGAATTGTGATTTTTTTAAATATAGAGATAGTTCGCGAACTTTTTGATCACCCCTCGTAGAGGACAGGAAACTAGAATAAGAAGAATAAATAGAAAAATTATCAACATATAATTAATAAGTTTCAACATTTAATATCAAAGAATCATCATATAATTACTAGTTATAAATTATCAGCATCTAATTAAATACAAAGTATTTATTTATTATGAAAAAGTATCAACAAAATCTTCTAAGCACCATCATATATAATCATTATATAATGATGGCGTATAATCAGCATTTAGAGACAAGCAAATTCAAAGAGTTGTGGTCCCCCGCTTTTGGTATCTTAGTGGATGGAATGCCATTATTTATGACATGTTGTAACTGTTTTGTTTGTGTGTCCTTCTTGTCTGTGCATCATACAAAGAAGACATAAACTTTTGAATTAATAACAGTTATTGCAAAGATTATAGCTTCTCAAAACTACATCAAACCTCAAGATCAAGGTCATGAGGTCAAATATCATAACACAATCCGAAAGGTCTTGTCACAAATAATGCAAATTTGAAAAAAAATATATCAAAAACCAGAGTATACAATCGAAAGGTCTTGAAACACGTACATGTAATGCACATGTCAAATATAAATGCCATATCGTCTCAAAAGTAATTTGCAATGTTAAAAGTTTTGAAAATTAGGTCGAACTTCAAGGTCATTGGGTTAAAAATCATAGTACATTTGGAAATAACTGTCACGGATAATGCATCTATCAAATATAAAAGCCCTATCTCTTTTCAATCAAAAGCTATTAGCAAAGTTAAATTTTGAAAAGTAAGTCAAACTTCAAGGTCACTGGGTCAAAAATCACAATATATATATGGAAAGGTCTTGTCACTGGTAATGTACATGTGAAATAGGAAAGTCCTATCTCTTTTCATTCAAAAGTTATGACCGCAGGTAAAGATTTTGTGACAGACTGACAGACGGACACACTGACGAATGAGATTTAATGTACCCTCACTTTCGCGAAAGCGGGGGGCAATTATCAACACCAGCATATACATAATACATAATAAAGATAATCATGATAGAGATGCATCTAGAAATGGTACTTAAGGTACCAACTGATACAAATATTAACATGTTAGAATATGTTCCAGAAAGGTCTTTTTTCGGTATGTATTATCCACCTCGTTGCAACCCACTGGTGAAACACTTGGCTTTCGAAGATGAAACATCGTAAGTGCCTTTCAAGCAACAGTATGTAAAAGGTGAATATAATTATGAAGAGTTATCGTTCTTAAATCCATTAAGGAATACAAATTGTGTAAGGACAAGGCAAAAAGCGCGGACCCCTGAAAACGCCAAAAGGGGGATCAGGAGCATTGGAGGATAAAGCATCCCCTGTCGACCGGTGGTCACACCCGCACCAACCCTGGACCATCTGTATTGATCAGGCAATCGGAGTATTCCATAGTCAAAATAGCTTAACATGATCATGGTCGATCATGTCATGATCATTTATGATACGACTCAACGATAGGTTTTGTGTACAAAGAAGGTCAGTGTAATGACTATAATTATATCTTGTAAAATTTTAATTTCAATCTAAAAAAAACAAACAAAACAATGAAATATGAGAAGCTATGATTAGAAAAAAATTTCTCCGGATTTTAGGTGTTCTATAAGTCATACCTTAAATGCAAATTTCACAGAAGTAGAAAAACTGTCAAAATATTTATTAGTCTTATGTATTAAGATAGTATGATTATATAAAAAAAAGATTTTTTAGATTTCTGAAAATTGTAGGTTCTAAATACGGAAAAAATGCCTTTACTGTGACATTACAATTAATGGCGCTGTATTACTCATTGTGATGTCATTCTATAATTATTTTTCCGTATAAATAGAGCAGAAATATGATTGCCACCACTATAATGCCGTTTCATGCCACTAAGTGACATTATAAGACCTACATAGGGAAGAAGTGTTTGAAGCAATAAAAAAAATCGAAAACTTTCATCTAATGAATCTATTTTAAAAAATATGCAGTGCTTCTTTACATTTATTTTTTTATCAGCACGACGTCAACAATCAAGAAGTTGCGTTATGTATTTCCCCGAGTATCCTGGAAATTCAGTTGAACCCCCTTTTAACTTAACTACAATCGGGTTAACGGACGTCCGGGATGAGATCATTAAGGTATGTTATATAAGTGAACCAATTAAGAAATAAAGACTTTATCAGAAGATTTGATCAAGTGCCGACCCACTTCATTTCCGTAAGAATTCTGTTACTTGTTATTTATTTCTTATATATACATTGAGACGGAAAATCACACATAAATATTGCATTAACTGCCCGTCGTAAATTTTGAAAAACGGCACAAGGTGTAAATCGGTTTGGAAAGCGGGAACGCTTTGAATTTTTAATTCACCTGGCAAAGGGTTCTTCTTTTTAAAAGAATGTTATGTGAAAGGTTACTTGTGATCAATAATTGTGAGCAGATTGTGGGATTTTTATATTTCCATGAAAACCGGTATTTGATAGTTGAAAACGCACAAGAAGCACGTCCAATATTGGATAATCAGATTTATCCCTAAAAGATAAATACAGTTATTGAGAATGACGCTTATTGCTTTCTATTTTGAAATTATGTATTGCTTGCAAAGAGCAACCTGTTTTCCGGAATTATATGGTCCTATCATGACGATTCTATGGTTAATAATACATCAACATTAATGAGCATGCGCTAGGTCTTTTCAACTTCCCATCTCGTTCAGAGCAGACGAAATCATCGGTGCTCAAAAAAAAAAAAATCAAGTATCATCGGTTAAGTATTGTGTCAATCGAAGAAATTTAAGTATGAAAATCGCATAAGACGAACATATTAATTCATATTTAAGGAATTTGTTTAAAATTTATTGACTTATTTGTTAGAAAATGGTAATGTAAAACAACAGAATTTTATTTTCATTGCTTGATTAAATAGAACACGTGTTGGAATATTAATAATTGGGAGTAAGAAAATCTTTGACGGTTTTATTCATTTTTTGCAAAAAAATGAGCACTGGATTGTTGAGAGTGGGATCTACAAGGAGATCCAAGACAAAATCGCCTTATGCCAGACCCCCTGCACGTGCTTCCGGCCCCTCGGCGCGCCCGGTGCAACCAACACAAGAGTCCTCACAAATGCAGCATGCAGGAAGTGGTAGCCAAGCGATTTATGCTCCTACCGGTGGCCTACAAGACACATCCGAGGTCAGTCCCGTGAATGCCACACTGCCAGTGAACATCACAGGTGACCAGCCTCAGCTGCAACAGACCTTTAGTGTTGCCGCATCCCAAAATATTCCAGATGTGCAGCCTCTGCTTCAAGACACCTCTATGACTACAGCAACAAAAAATGTTGTGTATCAGCCAGGTATGCATGTTAATCCCCTAGTCAGTATTACATCAGATCTTGGGGCTAATATACCATTGACAACACAGGAAAAAATTTGGAATAATGAGTATATAGATCTTGCTAAGTTATTGCATTTAGATCCAGCTGCTGAAATTCAGCAACTGCTTGTGTTTGAAGATGGAGAAATTAAAATAAAAAATAAATCTAAGGATAGAAAAATTGCAAACATTTCGGAATGGACTGATTCCTTTTTGATTTATGCTGCCATCTACTTAAAAAAGGGTCCGCAGCACATTCAGGGCATAATAAAGTATATCAGTTCAATAAGGCTAGGGGCTTCACGGTCTACTACACTAGGGTGGAGGGATTATGACATTCAGTTTAGACTTAGGCGCTCAAAAAATAGTATGATCAGTTGGGAAAACATTGATGCAGAATTATGGTTGATTTACATGGGTCAGGCAGCAGTCGCTGAACGCAAGCCTACTTCTAATTTGCACCAGCACAAGCGTTGTTACGATTTCAACTTGAAGGGTTCATGTCTTAAAAAAGATTGTAGATTTTCACACTCTTGTCTTAAGTGCGGCCAAAACCATCCCTCCATCAACTGTTACAGTAATCAAACCAGCCATAAAACATCAAAAGGGGCTACTCACAATGTCGGTCGTCAAAACATCAATCCCAATGTGACCCAATCAAGATTTTCAAGGCCATTTCGGCAATAAAGATCCATGCCTTTGGGATCTAGGTTTTACACCGATCAATGTTACAACTTTAAACATTTTGTTACAAGATTATCCAGAAAAAACTGAGGCAAATCAACTTTTACATGGGTTTACATTTGGTTTCTCATTGAACTATGAGGGTCCACGGGATCCAGTATCTTGTAAAAATATGGTTTCAGCATTAGAGCATAAAGATGAATTGTTAGCTAAACTGAACAAAGAAATTGACCTAGGTCGCATAATGGGTCCATTTGATGCCCCACCATTTCAAAATTTTCATTGCAGCCCAATAGGAGTTTTACCTAAAAAACAGGGTGGTTGGAGGTTAATCACCAATTTATCTGCTCCACATGGAAAGAGTATTAACGAATTCATTAATCCTGAAATTTGTTCAGTTAATTATTCATCTTTTGATCAAGCTGTTAGCATGGTACAAAAACTGGGTACAAATGCACAATTAGGGAAAATGGATATTTCAAATGCATTTAGGTTGTTACCAATTAGACCCGAAGATTTTAGTCTGCTTGGTTTTAAGTTTCTTGATAAATATTATGTAGACAAATGTTTACCGATGGGTTGTGCCATATCGTGTGCTTTGTTTGAAAAATTTCCAGTTTTTTACAATGGGTGGTAGAGTATAACACCAACTTGAAAAATATTGTTCATTACTTAGATGATTTTTTATTTGCTGGAGCTCATGGTACAAACAATTGTAAATATATGATGGATTCTTTTCAAAATATCTGTAACAGATTAGGTGTTCCTCTTTCAGAGGAAAAAACTGAAGGTCCAACAACATATATAGTGTTCTTAGGTTTAGATATAGACTCAGTTAATCAGTCAATTTTCATTCCAAAGGATAAAGTAGAATCTTTACAAAAAGAAATACTTGAAATTCAAGGGAAATCTAAGATTACATTAAGGCAGCTTCAGTCTTTAGCTGGCTCATTAGCTTTTATTACAAAGGCCTTGCCAGCAGGTAGAGCATTTACATGCCGCTTATATGGTTTAATGTCTGGTGTCTCTAAGCCACATCACTTTGTACGACTTTCCAAAGAAATACATAGTGACCTCCAAATGTGGTTAACATTTCTTGATGAATTTAATGGAACAACAAAATTTCCAGAATTGGAATGGGAATCTGACAAAAATGTACAATTTTATTCAGATAGCTCAGGTTCAGTGGGTTGTGGTGTGGTTTTTGGTACTTCCTGGTCTTATCTCTGTTGGCCACAGGAGTGGAATGTTGATATAAGAAAAGACATCACTTTTTTAGAGTTTGTTCCTATAGTTTTAGGATTTTACTTGTGGTCAGACAAATTACAAAATAAGAAATTAATATTTCATGTTGACAATATAGCTTTGGTTGAAATCTTGAATCAGAAAACATCTAAGAATAAACGGGTAATGATTTTGATGAGAGAATTAGTATTGCTTTCTTTGAAGTTTAATATTCAGTTTAAAGCAGTTCATGTAAGAGGTTGTATAAATGAGATAGCAGATTCAATTTCTCGATTGCAGTGGAACAGATTCAGGCAGTTAGCACCATGGGCAGATTGCCATCCTTATCAAGTACCTATTCAATTTTGGAACCTTTTGAAGGGCATGTCAATCATTTAATTGAAGCTAGCCTCTCCAACAACACAAAAATTGCATATGACAAAGCCATGGTTGTATTTAATGACTTCAGATTACAATTTAATTTGCCTCTATCTTGGCCACCTCCAGTAGATCATGTAATCAATTTTGTAGCTTTTCTAGCATCAAAAAATCTTTCTCATTCTACAGCTAATGTATATTTATCAGCCCTGAGTCACAGTTTGCAAGTGCACGGATTGGACAATCCAGTCAAATCTTTCATTGTGCAAAAAACGTTAACAGGTTTAAGAAGATCTAAGCCTACAAAGGACATCAGAAGTCCTGTAACATATCAGCTTTTACTAAAAATTTTGGATGTTTTACCTGTGGTTACACATTCAAAATATGAGCACTTCTTATTTGGGTCTATATTTGCAACTGCATTTTTTGGTCTTCTTAGAATAAGTGAAATGGCAGTAGCATCAAATAAGAGTCGAAGAAATGTACTTCACCTTTCAGATTTACAGTTAAGTAATGAAAATATCAAATTAAAGTTGCGTTTTTCTAAAACAGATCAGAGTGGAAAAGGTTTAGTCATTACTATCAGCAAATCAGTAGAGTCAACAGTGTGTTTTAATTTGTTAGAAACTTTCTTGCAATTCAGATCTCTGGTGGATGGCCCTCTATTTTGTCATATCAATGGTACACCATTATCGGCATACCAGTTTTCAAGTGTATTGCACAAAGCATTGAGATTTTTAGGTATTGAAACAAAAACTTTCAAAACGCACTCTTTTAGAATAGGAGCTGCTACTCACATGTATTTGTCAGGCATATCTGAACAAGAAATTCAAAGAAAGGGAAGATGGGTGTCAGATGCATATAAGCATTATCTCAGACCTGAGTTGATTACATTTTAGATGCAAATAATGCTATTATGATGGTTACATCATTGTCATATTGTTGTTAACCTGATAACAAAATTATAATTGGAGTTGGATTAATTCAATTGCTGTTTTCAAGTGCATAATTATGTAGATTGTAATCATTGCTTATGTATTGTTCATAAATCTTGTAGATTCAATCTGGATTGTGGGATCATCCCTTATTAAAAGAGCAGAACAATTTTCTTTGAGTTCTCCGGAATTTGGCACAGACCTTTCTTTACCAGGGGTAAAAGTGTTATGGAAGGGAATACCAGGGTTGAGTTTTGCCAAATTCTCTGAGGTCATTTCTGACCTGTCCTCTACAAAGCCACATCCGAGGTTTCTTGTTATCCATGTAGGTGGTAATGACATTGCCAAACATAATAACCCATTACGAAGACAACAAAAATTTATGAAAACTGTTATCAACAAGTTGAGTTTGGTTATGCCTTTAACATGCATTGTCTGGTCACATATTTTGCCCAGGGTATATTGGCGTCATTCAATTTCAAATGTTGCTGCAGAGAAATCAAGATCTAGAATTAATAGTTTCTATTGCTAGCTTTGTTTTAAAGTCAGGTGGTGCTTCAATTAAGTACCCTGACATCAGTATTGTTCAAAGTAAACTCTTTCTTAATGATGGAGTTCACTTATCTCCCCTAGGTAATTATGTCTTTTTGTCAACAATGCAGGCTGCTCTTAGGCAATTTTGCTCTGGTAATGGTTTTGTTTATCCATCAAAGTGAACAGTGCATAATTTTGGAATTGGAACTGTTGTGGCTTTATGAAGATGTTATGAAATAATTTGTGTGTAATTTGTGAATGGTATATTTTACCTGTGGTCAAAATTCAGCCGCTTTGATGGCGGTTGGATTTCATTATGCTTGAAATCCAATTGGCGCAATTTTGACAAGTAACCATTTGCTGAGGGATACTGTTGTCTCCAGGTCCCCCAGCTCTGATATGGTTTGTTTAATATTTGTGAATGCTATGCTGCCAAAAGCTTACAAGTGGTAAGATCGGCGCATAGGGCATGAACATGCGAGTGGCATGTTAACTGTGAATGTAATTTGTAATAAAAAGCCATGACAGTTCCGCCAATACGAGTTGTGTTATTCTTCCAAATTCTACAAGATACATTTATGAGGTGTCTTGCATAAGAAAAATTCAAAAGCTGAGGTTATCAACCTTTAATAAACAGTTCTTATTAGTGTTAGGAATTTCGAAATAACAAAAAGTTGGAGGAATTTCGGTCGGAAAAGGAATGGAGGCACCAAGCCACTTAATTTCAAATTCAAGATTAGAAATCAAACATATCAATATAGTTTAGCTAAATATAATTATTATGTCTTCGATTTAATTAGTGATACAGAGGCCCTACTCATCATGTTGTTGATACGGAGACACTTGCGATTGTTTACCTTGTCAAGACTCGGCGTGTTTTCGGTGTTTAGGATGAAGATTAAAAGTCTTCAGAAAAGGACAATATTGAGACTACTATTCAACGCAGCAGACATAAAGACGTAGAACTTTAATTGTTCATTCTGTATGTTAAATCGCCAAAGGAAACATGTTCTTTTTTTAAAAATCAAATACGATTAAATAAAGTTATTTTTTTTTACTTGCGTATTTTCTACAGCCATTTTTTAAATCATAAGACAGAGATAGGCTACATATTATTGCGCCGTGTAATTAGGTCATGTAATGAGTTTTTACCTTTGGAAAACTTCGTTCAGGTATGAAGATACTTGCTCTCTGCTTGTTTATATAATAGAAAGATACCACAAATATATTTATTACACATGTGAAATATAAAAGCCCTAGCACCAACCATTAAAAGTTATGGACAAGGTTAAAGTTTTTGCAGACAAACAGACAAGCAGATTAATAGACAAACAGACTGACAGACTGAAGACTAAAAAATATATATGCCCCCGAATCTTCGATTACGGGGGCATAAAAAATTTGATAAGTAAATTGTATCCAGAATATGAAATTTGCTGTGGAACAAAGTTCAACACATATTTCATTCCAAGATGTACTGATTTTCAAAGTATGAGAACATGTGAAGGGGCTATTTTCTGCATTGTCATAGAAAAAAACTTGCATGTACTAGTATTTGATGTAACGAATTTGAAGACCAACATCAGATTTGTTAAATTTCTTAGCAATCATTTGAACTAAACAAAATATCATGATCATTTAAAAAATAATAAAAATCCAAATTTTAAAATGTGAAAAAGATAAGACATTATGTGAATTAAGGCATTTCCCAGTAAGTAGAATAATAATATATATACTAGGAATCGAAAACATTATCTAAAATTTCAAAAACTTTGAAATTTTACATTAACTTTAATGTGCAGTGTGAGTATGTACATACAATAATTATTTCCTATTAGATAGAAATCAATACCATTTTATATGTCAATACAAATTTACACGATAGACAGTCTGACTTTTCACTATGAATAAGATCTGATTCTGAACTCTGAAGTTATGAGGATCAAAGGACAATACAAGAATTATTGAACTGTTTATTCTGAAACTGATAAATACAACATCATTTTATAGCATTAATAATGAATATCAATTTTTAATGGAAGATTAAACGGTTTAAAACCAATTAAATGATATTAAATGTTGTACATACTAGTATTTTTTCCAGTAATTACAATTTAAATGAAGACATACTTTGTACTCAAGCCCACTCAAATGTATGAATTTCACAAAATTAGATATACATGTACCTTTAAAATTTAACGAAACAATAACCGAAATAAATAGTTGCCATAGATTTTTATAGATAAATAGAACAACACTCTGTGAACAGTATCAATTGACTATTTCTTTATCAGAATGGTTTTATTATAATGTGTGCATCATAATCAAGAGATAAAATGAAAAGGTCTGATGAAAATAACAATGTGCTATATGTATTACATGCACAATAAAAAATCACGAGTTTACGAGATGAAAGCGTATTCTTTACAAAAAGACAATTAGAATTAATCATTTTATTATTGTTTTTCTATGAAGCATTGGAATACACCAAAAGGTAGTACCCATCTTGATTTCATAATATGTTTTGTTCACTGATCACCCATTTCACTATACCACATCGTTACAGCTGCCCGTGCACCAGTCAGGGCATGTTGTACCTCTTCTACACAAAACCTTAGACAACCGGTTAGCGAGATGGTGGCAGCTGTTGGTCAGTAAGTTGTAACTTCCATACTTACATTTGTAATTCCTGGCACAACCTTTAATGCACTCTGGACTGAGTTCGCTGTAACCGGCTGGGGAGGCTTCCTTTTTCCCGCTACATGAATCTCCCCATAGTCGTGTTTTAGAGATCGACACTTTGGAATTGGCTAGTCGGGAAAGATAAATTTGAAATACCAAAAGCGAAAGGTTGAAAGTAATGTAATGAAATGATTTCATAAATTCTTTTATTTGTATCATCGGAATCCCTACTTTATTAATTATATTCAACATTTATTCCAACTAAGTCTATAAAGTTGTTGCAAATATTAAAAATAATATGAAAATACAATAAATGCGTGTTGATCTAATTTTGTTAGTTTTATCAGATTTAATACCTTCCGCAAATTGTTAAAAATACAGTATCATGTTTCTCTCTCTCTCTCTCTCTCTCTCCGAAAAAAGAAGGATATTGAAAATTAGTAATGTTACAATTACAGTATCATCAAACCATGGGAAAATTGCCATTTGATAAATAATTCTATTTACGCCAACTTCAGACATAGAATGTCAACAGAAATAAGCTGAGAGAATCGGTGGAGAGATAGGAAGAAACACTTACATAGAAAATCATAGTAGTTTCCTCTGTATTCAATGAAACGGTGGGACAAATCCAAAGTTCCTCTTGAAGGAGCACTACGTTTTCCCCTTTTCAAACTTTCCATTATGACGCACAAGAGGTCAGTCGTGCCAAAATAATACGGATAAGCTCCATCTACATTAGATTGCTTAAACAGATTAGTTTTTAAAGAATCAGAAATTTTATAGGTATCAATCGAAATAAAAACATTGTGACTATAAAAATATGGTCGTCAAGCGAAAAAAAAAAGTCTTTAAAAAATTTCTTGTGACACTTCTTGTTGGTAAATAATGATTTTCCCCTTTTTCCCCTAGTAATTAGCTGGCAATGAAAAAAAATATTCAAAAGTCTCTGCATGCATGTTTCAAAGAATATCTGCACTCTACGCGACGACTTATGAAATCCTAGCTATGAAAATTGGTTTTCTTGCCTGAATGGGCCAGCATAGTTTTATCCCACAACTCCTTTTATCAGTATTACTCGTAAACTTTCTTTCTCAATAAATACTTTTACATTCATCACAAACCTCGTTTAGAACATCCATTGTTATTCCCTTCTTTGCCCCACACCCACCAACCATCAACATCAAGAAACGAGGCAAATATGAGCGTGAAAATCTGCATATACAATCTATATTTAGTTATCTGAAAATATCTATTATATATATACGAAATTCAAGTTTCAAACTGACTTACTGTTAAAAAACGCATCTTGGTTGACTGAAAGTTTTCGTTAAATTCTTGTTGATAGGAGTTTATTTTCTTCTAGAGTTGGAAAAAGCCCAAATGCATACACAACATGGTGTATATTTTATGGCTTTTTTGTTCCTGGTTCTTTTATGGTTATTTAATGTCGTTGCAAACTTTAAATTATTACTTAATATGCACAGCGCCAACACAAAAACCTGCTAAAGCACTGATAAGCGTGTTTTACGTGCAATGTGAAAGTCTTAAAACATGTCCACAATATGGACAGTCATGTACCAGGATATGAACATGCATCTTCAATATTAAAATGGAAATATTTTTTTGCATATTCGTTATCAATCTCCCTTGCAGAGTTGTCGTTCGTATCTCTCTCAGTGAATGTATGAACCGATGGTAGAGAGTGATTCGTTATATTTCATTTACTTCGATTCTATTGATACCATCCATATATATATATATATATATATATATATATGTGTGTGTGTGGGCCTGCCCATTTCCCCACCTTTTTATTGAGATCGTAATTTGTATAAATTTTAAAGGACTTATCGCATGATTTTTCAAAAATCTTAATTTTATGAAAAATATTATCTACAACCTTGTTTATTAAAATTCTGAATACAATAAACGTTGTTGAAAGCGTATTTTAAGAGATATTGAGAGTTGAAATTCAAATACGGCAATATGCATATTTCAGTCGGATTTCGGCGAAATACTGCTCTGACGTCATAGGCGACAATTCAGTGATAGAGAGATAAGAAGTTGCACACTTTTTTCGGAGTTATCAACGACAAATGCAGCTTATTATGAAAAAAATGCTGAAAAAATTAATTCCTAACGTGATTTTCAATTACTATAGAAACATTAACTAGTTCTAAGGTGTAAGAATTTTAAGATATTTTCGTTTTTTATTCGAAACATTTAGAATCTGTAGGTCTGATTACGGCAATGTTTCGTGATCGGAAAATTATTTTTCAAGACCGCCATCCTTTACAAAACATATGAATGCATACTTGCATAACTTAAAATATTATGTTAAAAACGAAGAATAACAAAGTTATGTAATTTAAATTTGTGAATCAAATAAGTTCATACATGTGATAAAATGACAAATCAAATTGTATTGTTAATGGCGAGTTTCTTCGTCTTCGCCGCGTCTCCCTCGCTATCGTCGCTGCTATTTTTACAATGTTACGGATTTTTCATATTATTTCTTGCTGACAATTGAAATATTAGTTCCTCTAAAATTATTTTACAAGTATATATACAAGTCTTTTAAAACCAGGTTAAAAAATAAATAAGTAAACAAAACAAACAATTATATCCAAGATAAAGTACTAATGATAAATCCATCAGGTCACTCTTAATCAGGTCATTACACCATTGAACAGGAAAATTTCTTTAAAAACCTTCTCAAAAATTTCTAATATATAAAACTTTACATTTTAATTAAAGAAAATCATTAAATGGAACATATATCAATTTATTATTTCATCGATACCAAATCATTGGTAAATTAAAGGGAAAAAAGTTCCATCAGGACAATACACTAGATATCAGGTCTTTACACTCTTTCAACTGGGTTAAACATCAAATAAATCTCATATAACACCTTAAATTACAAAATTCAGTGACCAGATTGTATATTATAGTAATATTAACAATTTTGAAAAAGATCTTTTTTTCTAAATTCGTCTTTTATATTAAATAAATTACATTTTATATTTCATCAGGTCAATCAGGTCATTACACTTATCAGGTCAATACACCGTGCCCGTCACATGGTCACGTGATCGCTATCTAATTAACTAAGATTTTTAATTCAGGGGTTTTCATTTGAGTCAATAATTGGTTAATTACCGAGGTTTATCCGCAGTAAAAACACAAAATTTATAAACTATGGTCATAAGGAACGTTTTACGCTTTTAATCTCAAATAATTTAGAAACATGCGATAAGTCCTTTAAGGATAAAAATGACCAATGACCCCCCCCCCCCCCCCCCCTGTTTATGGACTTTAACTTTCCACCAAATAAAATTTTGATTTGGGAGAATTTTAGCCTTTTTCCTGGGGTGTTGGGGGGATGGAGTAGTCGAAGATTTTTTTCAGGTAAGTTGTCATTTTTTTCTTCCTTATGATGCCCCCCTTTTTTTCAAAACCGATATAAATATACATGCCTAACATTTTTTTTTCTACATTTCACCTAAAATAGAGTTAAAAATTCCAAATTAATACAACTTGTTATGTTTATTTTAAATCCGTTTCTCTCATTACGTTTGGCTAGTGCTTCAGTAAATGCAAATAAGTAAGATGGTTTGGACTGCTTAAAGAGTTTGTGTCATTTAATCATTAAATCATTTAATAAAATTATTATTGCTGTTTTTTCTGTCAATGCGATGATTAAGCCACCCTCGAAGTACAAAATTCGCCTCGCCCTTCGGGACTTATACATTGTATATTAAAAAACACAAATGACAGAAAGTGTTGTTAAATTTTCGGGACACCCTGTGCCTTCCCCAGGACAAAAAAAAGTTAGAAAGTCATAAAAACAAAAGATATAGAGAAACAAAAACCAACTAGCCCTACATCTAAACTACCAAACACAATGGACATTATATGAACGAAATATGGTTTTGATGCAGCAAATTATAGAGCATTTATTTATTCTGAAAGTTCACATAATACATTTCATTTAAATACATTCCTTATTGGAGGTTTTAGTAAAATCAAAATAGTGTGACGTCAAATAATATTAACCCTGTAAATAATATTGAAAATATAATACTATGAATCTTTACAAGATGATAATAATAAGACAAAATGGTTGAAAAAGATCTATAGTACATACATATAACCACAAACTTACATTTCTTCTTGAAATAAAATAACATTTTCAAGAATAAAACCAACTCTTTTATTAATTTGTTTTGTAAATATGTAAACTGAGTTTAAATTTTTGATTTAGGCAATTTAAGTAATTTTTCCGATTCATTAAATCACATTTATCTATCAAATCTATGGTTTAACATCTACAAAAAAAAACAAAAAAAAAAAAACAACGAAATATGAAAAGTTATGATCTAAAAGAGGGAGAGAGAGAGAAAGAGAGAGAGAGAGAAGAAAAAAAACTTTTAGGTGTCCCATAGTCGGAACTTAAATGCAAATTCAATAATCACAGAAGTAGAAAACATGTGAGTATATTTGTCAGTCCTATATTTTAAGATATTTTGATTACACGTATATAAAACAAAACATATTTTAGATTTTTAAAAATTACAGGTTTAAAAAACGAAAAACAATGACGTCACAATTAATCCAACATAAATGTATGTAACGCTGTATTACTCATTGTGACGTCATTCTATTATTATTTCCCGCATAGCCATAAGAGATCGAGCAGAATGATTGCCACCACAATTATCCTGTTCCACGCCACTAAATGGCTTTACAGGAACTACATAGGTAAGAAGTGTTTGGGACAATAAAAAATAAGCAAAAACTTTTATCAAATTAAAAAATAATCAGTACTTTTTCTGCATTTATTATTTATCAGCACCGCGTCCACGACGAAGAGCTCCTCTTATACTTTTCCCAGATTATCCTGGAAGTCCAGTTGATCCCCCTCAGTACCTCATCAATCGTGTTCGCGGAGGCCCGGGAGGAGACCATTAAGGTATGTCAATATACTCTGCCATATACAGCAGTTCAGGCAATCTATGATTTTAAGTTGTGTTAAGACATATTTGTACGCGTGTAGGATATTCATTTGATGTCGGAGGATGTCCATTATCTCCATACATTTGGTTTTCAGTTGTTTAATTTATCCTTTTCTTTCTTTTTTTTTTTTTTTTTTTTTGGCATGCAACTTTGGTTCAGAAGTGTATTCATTAACTTGACACAAAAATTTCTTGCTTATGTATGTATTTGTGTATATAAATTGAATTAAATTTTTAAATATCGCACAGTGTTTACACCTGTTACATTCAGTTCATTAATTCAAAGTACTTGTGCATACCGGTAAATCAATACATACTTTTGCATGGTCATGTAGTAAAATGCACATTCTTTTCCTGTTGCATTTTGAGATGTTAACATTAATTCCCTTCTTATATTCCAGCTATTACGGAAACCTTAAGATTTGTGTTTTTGCGCGATAAGAACATTTTCAGTCTGATTAATATCAGATCCTCGATGCGCTCCTCCTTTTTTGTTTTGTCGCTCAGGCCCGTAGAACGCACACACTTTTTCATGAGTATTTACAATAGCATTTTGCTATAGTGAATTTTCATTATCTACTTTTGTTGTTGTTAGGCCGAGCACTGGAACACTTTTTTTTTTCTTTTTTTGCTTGTCAGATTATTTTGGGAAGCCCCCCCCCCCCCATACACACACTTTTTGTTGACAGTTAAGGTTTTTCTTTCTTTCTTTTTTTGCTTTGTTTTTTTTTTAAATTATTTTTTAAAAATTTTTTTATTATTATTTTTTGTTGTTTTTGTTGTTGTTTTTTTTAATTTGCTTTTAATTTATTAAATTATTTATTCATTTATTTTTATTTTTATTTTATTTATTTATTCTATTTTATTTATTATTATTATTATTATTATTATTATTATTTGCTTATCTCTTCGGGGGGTTGCTCCCCTTTTTGAAACTGTTTCTATGGGCCTGTCGCTACACGAGGCGACAATAAAATAAAGGAGGGGCGGATCGAGGATCTGATTTTTATAAATTGAGAAGATTCTGGACTGTCTAGAAGTGGGAGTCTAAGAATTTAAGAAAGAAACTGTCTGAATTTCTACGACTCTTGTATTCATGTTTTACCCATGGGGAAATTAAAACAAAAGGTACATATGACACAATTGTATAAAATAAAAGTGATAAAGAAAACCTAGTTTTCATAATTTAAAATACACATAGCAAGTCAATTCTTTACTGATCAGCAAGTTATATTTATCTGCAGGCTCTAGTGGAACCCTCCGAGAAGTTGACTCTCCAGTATCGAAATATTCTGGCACTAGAATCTATTGGTTGGACATTGAGCAAAAGCAACTCTCTGCGGGAAAGAAGACCTAAATATAACAGGGATCGTGAAGGATGGCATCAAGATCCTGTCCTCAAGCACCTGTGAATTTTACACCCAAAGAAATTTCAAATGAACGACCAGTTTTGGATTAATCTCTCTGATTGGGGAATACTATTTATAGTCATTAAATTCTTTATGTTTTCCAAGACATAATAACATAATATTGTAAATTATCATCGATAAAAAAATCTCATTTCTTATAATTGTTTTTAAACTTTAAAAATAATATTGACAACATAAGTACACCATCTACCATCAACATCATTAGTTGAGGCTATCTGGTACCGCTTGCAGGTTGGCGGACAGGAGTTGTCTCTCCATAAGTGCGTACGAGTTATCTCGCGTTACAACGGTGACATACATAAATTCCTACCCTCATTCAAAAGTTCCACCTACATCGTTTCTATGAAACTGTTAATGTTTATCAATAAGACAAATATGCAAAACGTAATAAATAAGAGAGAAAAAAGTATTGTTATCTAATTGGTGATCTTGGGAGCATATACACATGTTGTGTTTCGCAGAAACTGCAAGGGGGTGGGGGGGGGGGGTGGCACAATAATTTTAATATTACATGATATTAAATTCAAAAAGGCTTCCTACGAAGCTGTGCCCCCCTTTCCCCCAAAAATAGTCTACGGATTTATTTATTTTTTATTAATTCATTGTTATATTTTTCTTTTTTGCTTCTAAAGGAATTTCTGTATTGTTGTGCCCAAGAAGTTTTTAATTTACATTCCTAGAGAACACAGTCCTGGCTAGGTCAATGAGGAGTTACAATTCCCAGACCAATAGACCAGATATCTATTCCCCCTCCCTACACATACAAACACACAAAGACGTCCGGCCCAGTGACGTAGCATTGCTTTTCAAAGGGGCAGCCAAAGGAAAAAAAATCAACTTATACGCGTATACCTGAAAAAAAAATTTGACAAGCAAAAATAAAAAGAAACTGATTTATTTCGTATCTCTCTATACATTAATGGTGAAGAGTGTTTGTAGATGCACAGAATAATGATAAGTTTGTTTGTCTGTTGTTTAACCTCGAAAATTTTCACTCATACGGAGACGTCATCATTTGCCGCTGCAATTTTTGACCTTGGCATTGAGGGCCATTGAGCGGTGATGAATTTTTTTCGTGCCAGCACCTACTGCGGCACGGGACCTCTGTTTATTCGGTGTCATCCAAAGGACAGGTCTCCACGTCCCCAAGTGGGATTCGAACCCGCGACATAAGGATCAAGCGATAACTATTTATTTTATTCCCGCCTCAATTCAAACTTTTATAGCTGGATTATCATCGCCTCGAGCCATCAAGGTCCGAAGTCTGTAAATTTTTGCCGAATCAAATAATTCAGATGCTTTCTGAATTATTAAAGTTAATCAAAATTTTGCACTTTAACAAATGAGAAGATTGTTTAAGGGCATAACAGCAATCAACTCCTCTTGCATTCAACTGTAAATTAAAAGAAATATGAAAACATCAAGAATCCAATGAACAACTGAATTTGAATAAGATATAATTTTAAACTTACAGAAAACAAAGAGAGAGACAGTTATGTCATACAATATTAGAAATAAACAAGCTACCTACCTCAAACAGGTGCTTCCTACCTCTAACAGATACAAAGTAATGAAGCTACCTACCTGTAACAGGCACCTGATATTAAAGCTACCTACCCGTAACAGGTACCAGGTATTAAAGATACTTACCTCTTACAAGTACCACATATTCAAACTACCTACCTGTTACAGGTACCAGATATTAATGCTACCTACCTGTAACAGGTACCAGATAATAAAGCTACCTACCTCTAACAGGTACCAGATTTCAAAGCTACCTACCTGTAACAGGTACCAGATAATAAAACTACCTACCTCTAACAGGTACCAGATTTCAAAGCTACCTACCTGTAACAGGTACCAGATAATAAAGCTACCTACCTTTAACAGGTACCAGATTTTAAAGCAACAGACCTGTAACAGGTACCAGATTTTAAAGCAACCTACCTGTAACAGGTACCATATATTAAAGCAACCTACCTGTAACAGGTACCAGATATTAAAGCAACCTAACCTACCTGTAACAGGTACCAGATATTAAAGCAACCTAACCTACCTGTAATAGGTACCATATATTAAAGCAACCTACCTGTAACAGGTACCAGATATTAAAGCAACCTAACCTACCTGTAATAGGTACCAGATATTAAAGCAATCTACCTGTAACAGGTACCAGACATTAAAGCGACCTTCCTCTAACAGGTACCAGATTTTAAAGCTACCTACCTCTAAAAAGGTACCAGATTTTAAAGCTACCTACCTCTAACAGGTACTAGATTATAACTACCTACCTGTAGCAGGTACCAGATTTTAAAGCAACCTACCTGTAACAGGTACCAGATATTAAAGATACCTACCTCTAACAGGTAACAGATATTTAAGCATCCTACCTGTAACAGGTATCAGATTTTAAAGCTACCTACCTCTAACAGGTACCAGATATTAAAGCTACCTACCTCTAACAGGTACCAGATATTAACGCAACCTACCTGTAACAGGTACCAGATTTTAAAGCAACCTACCTGTAACAGGTACCAGATTTTAAAGCTACCTACCTGTAACAGTTACCGTATTTTAACGCTTCCAACCTCTAACAGGTACCAGATTTTAAAGTTAACTACCTCTAACAGGTACCATATATTAAAGCAACCTACCTCTAACAGGTACCTGATATTAAAGCAACCTACCTGTAACAGGTACCAGATCTTAAAGCTACCTACCTGTAACAGGTACCAGATTTTAAAGCTACCCACCTCGAACAGGTACCAGATTATAAAGTGCCTACGTGTAGCAGGTACTAGATTATAACTACCTACCTGTAGCAGGTACCAGATTATTTAGCTACCTACCTCTAACAGGTACCAGATTTTAAAGCTACCTACCTCTAACAGGTACCAGATTATAAAGTACCTACGTGTAGCAGGCACCAGATAATAAAGATATCTACCTCTAACAGGTACCAGATTATATAGCTACCTTCCTCTAAAAGGCACCAGATATTAAAGCAACCTACCTGTAACAGGTATTAGATTATAGAGCTACCTGCATGTAGCAGGTACCAGGTTATTTATCTACCTACCTCTAACAGGTACCAGATATTAAAGCTACCTACCTCTAACAGGCACCAGATATTAAATCTACCTACCTGTAACAGGTACCAGATATTAAAGCAACCTACCTGTAACAGGTACCAGATTTTAAAGCTACCTACCTGTAACAGGTACCAGATTTTAAAGCTACCCACCTCGAACAGGTACCAGATTATAAAGTGCCTACGTGTAGCAGGCACCAGATTATAAAGATATCTACCTCTAACAGGTACCAGATTTTAAAGCTACCTACCTCGAACAGGTACCAGATTTTAAAGCTACCTACCTCTAACAGGTACCAGATTATAAAGTACCTACGTGTAGCAGGCACCAGATAATAAAGATATCTACCTCTAACAGGTACCAGATTATATAGCTACCTTCCTCTAAAAGGCACCAGATATTAAAGCAACCTACCTGTAACAGGTATTAGATTATAGAGCTACCTGCCTGTAGCAGGTACCAGATTATTTATCTACTTACCTCTAACAGGTACCAGATATTAAAGCTACCTACCTCTAACAGGTACCAGATATTAAAGCTACCTACCTGTAACAGGTACCAGATATTAAAGCAACCTACCTGTAACAGGTACCAGATTTTAAAGCTACCTACCTGTAACAGGTATCAGATTTTAAAGCTACCTACCTGTAACAGGTACCGGATTTTAAAGCTACCTACCTGTAACAGGTACCAGATTATAAAGCTACCTACCTCTAACAGGTATCAGATTATATAGCTACCTACCTCTAAAAGGCACCAGATATTAAAGCAACCTTCCTGTAACAGGTACTAGATTATAGAGCTACCTTTCTCTAACAGGTACTTGATAATGAAATTACATCAGACCATCTTGAAGTCAAATATCATAATACAATCCGAAAGGGCTTGAAACAAGTCATGCACATGTCAAATATAAATGACATTTATGACATTTGCTCTTTCAAAAGTAAGCAGCACTGTTTAAACGTTTGAAATAAGATCAAACTAAGGTC